CCCCACCCCACCCCACCCCACCCACACAGCCACCCCACCCACCCACCAAAATCCGTTTTGACAGCCCGGGCAGAAGGTTAGGTGGTAAGGGGTTTGCAGCAATCACGATGTGTTTATTCAATGCTGGTGCGGACGGTGGTGGGGGTGGGGTGGGGGTGGGCGGGGTGGGGTGCATGTTCAGGAGTGCGGGTTCCTGGAAAAGGGGCCATATAATGCTATTTTATTGTTGCGGTTGGCACCACAAATGAAGTTCTACACCCAGCAGTGGGGCAGACATCGTCTCTCGGCAGCATTCGTTTATTGCTCATTTAATGCTCCCATCCTGCTCACATAATACATGTTTGGTGCCATTTTAACGATCCTGTATTGCTCATTTCTTGAGGAGAGTCGGGGTTGGTCCCCGGGGTAAGTGTGAGCTCCGTATGAATAAAGTGTCATTCATTAAGTCCTCTGTAAGTTCAGGCCCCCGTAATCTCGAGGTGATGCGTCCAGAGAAGCTGCAGATAAATGCTTGTAGCGATTTCGCCAACCTGTTTGTCTACTTGCATTTTCAGAAATCATCATCAGGCCACTCATGGCTCCTGTCGGATCCGTGCATGCTTCGATACTGTATGAAGAGACGCAGTATCGAAGCAACGAAATTGGTAGCAGTGTCTACGCTCGTGGATGTGAAGCATTTTTGTTGCGCCCTTTAGCGTTGCTTCTTATGGGCGACAGTTGCCGGCAAGACGAATGGATCTGCCGATCGCTGCTGCGCAACAGCTCTGACCGATACAGAACCCCCCATGCAGATCCCAGACAGTCACCCCTGCGATCTGGAAACATCGCCCCATTCTGCGCTTCTTCTACTGTTTTGCAGGCACGGCGTTCGTCCGGTATGCTTCCCCTGCAAAGGCACTTGGGGCACTCCGGGAGCTAAGTCGGGCATCCCACTTCCAGCAGGTTATTTATAGTGTATCAAGATGCATCAAGGTACTCGAATGCCTTCGACTTGCAAGTTCCTTGCACGTGCCAGGCACGGGAGGCTTTGCAGAAGCTTGGGCCGTCTCCAGACATTGGTGGTAGAAAGGCAGGCCCTGTGCGAACATCGGCATTTTGGTGACTTGCGCTATTGAGCCGATCAGGCGAGAGTCGAGGTTCAGAAGTCCAAGAACCTCTTTGGTCGCAGAAATGCAGGTGGCGAGTTGCCGCAGGAGCTTGCAACATCTGCTGCGCTCTCTTCGAACTTGCATTGGTAACGTCCTCGTTTCACGCAGGAGCTAACCCTGGTGCAACAAGAGATAGAGCTGTTCCTGCAAGGCTTCGAGACAGAGGCTGTGGTAGCGCTGGCTGGCAACAGATGACACCTTACTGGCAAGTCACCTGCAAGGTTTGCCTCTCGGCTACTTTCGATGCCCATCAGCGCAAGTGACCCACTGGCCCACAGGGCGGTTCATATATTCACATCTACCACGAGGGCAGAAGCACAGTCCTTGTGGCGGCAGGTATGCCCACTCGTTGGCAGAAAGGCACAATCTCGTGCATGCCACAAGACAAAATGAAAGTGGGCAGACGTGCCCCCCCTCAACTGATGGGGGCGAATGCAGGCTGCAGGCCTTGATCTGAGCACTTGTGCAGGTACGTCTACCTTAGCAAGTGCCGGCCGAGCCAAGCCGCCGGGAACAGGAAGAAGGCGTCTTGCTGTGACAATTTCACAAAGTCTGCGACTCTGGCCCTGTCAACAAAGGCTTTCTCGATGGATGCTCGTGGTACGTCAGCGGGCCATGTGTTGCCCAAATCTGGGTTCTATTATGCAGTCGGAGATAGGGATACCACGTCGGTGCACTCTGCAAAATCCTCTGCATGCGCCTGCCAGGCCTCAGCTCGGTGCAGCTGGAGGCACGCCTCAACTCACCTATGCGACCAATGCTCGACGGCTGTCGGCCGTAGGCGCACTATGCGACATGGGCTACGAGGACTCCCTGTGCCCTTGGACTGACATCATGGACAAAGCGCAAGCAGATGCCAGGCACAGAGTCAGAGCTGCTATGTCGGGCCTATGTCTCCTCCAGGCCTCCTGTTCCAAGGCACGAGGGCCTGCGAATTTCCTCTTTGCACAGCTTCGACTGTGAGCCCACACCGTGGCACTGAGTTCAAAAGCCAGGGGGCATGAAAGGCTGCCAAAATGGCGGGGGTTCAAAGGTTAGGGTCCGGAGCGGGCCTCGCGGCGGAGCGGGCCCCGGTCCGACAATCATTTGGCGAGCACGAAACGGCCTTTTCAGGCGCCCTTAGCGCGACTGATTTTGGCAACAGCGGGGTGACGCACGGTTAGCGCATCCGTACCCAAGAAGATGAAAGGATTTCACGAGTCGTGTACAAAGTAGCAAAGCATAGCAAAGCTGCCAACTTCGCGGAACCAAAGTGATGTCTCGAAGCGTAAAGTCTGCAGGGCTGGAGTTGGGCACGCCGGTCCTGGGACCCGAGTTGCTGGCGAGAGTCTCGGTCTTGTGAGGATGCACAGGTGCTCAGTGGTCTCAACGAGTCACCGGCTCACAATCTGTTGAAACGCCAGCAAAGGCAGGGTCCGAGGATGCCATGCCAGGGGCCTATTCGGATCCTCGCACGTCATCCACGTCCTTACACCCCTCTCGGAGATGGGCTTACACTGCCTTACGATGCCTTACGCTTACGACTTTCAATATCTTTTTGTCCAGGTTCATGCTTCCCAGCGCAGCAGTACCACTTCTTCCTCCTGGAATTGATCCTTCGATTGGTCTGCCAGGGCGCGGGCCAGAGGAAGCCTGCAAGCGTATGAAGCAGCTTTCCAATACATGGCTTTGAAGGGTGACGCTGCCACCAGCGTGGCCTGCCGCTGGCATGGTGTCAGGGACCCAGGCGCTCTTCCCTGGCTCCGCTGAGCATCGCTGAGCATCGCGGGGCCGCTTAGCGCCTCACTGAGGTTAGGGACTGAGCCCCCGCCTGGCCTCGGCTTAGAGCTACAAGGCGCGTTGTCTTCGAAGGCGGCGGTAGCCCAGCTTCCCACGCCGTGGCGAGGTCTTGCAGAGCTTGCTGAAGGACTTTGCAAAGACCTGGTGGATCCAGAGGCTGAACTTCTGAGCCATTCTACATTTAGAAGGACCGTTCCGATGGAGGCGGCCCAAACAGCATTTGAAAAAAAACATGTAAAATACAGGTAAAATAAAGGTAAAAAAAGCTGGAACGAGGTGAAACAAAAAGGTAAATAAAAGGCAAACAAAGGGTGAAGACCAGGCACAGGGCACCTGACTCGGATTTTCCAGCACTCTCCCACGCCCGCCCACAATCCGCGGGCTGGCGGGCGCGCGTCCCTATCGATTTCCTGTACAAAAGGCGAAGAAGAGGTGTAGAAAAATGTAAAAAAAGGTGTGAAAATGTAAAAAGAAGGTGTCAAAAAGGTGAACAAAAGGCAAGACAAAGTTCAAGGGCCGCGCAGAGGACAGGTGTGGGAAATCCCGGATCACCTGGCCTGCGCGTGACATTTACATTTTTTCCTTGTTTACACCTTTTTTTCGCCTTTTGTACAGGAAATCGATCGCCCGCCAGCCACGGCTGGTGGGCGGGCGTGGAGTGCAGGAAAATCTGAGTCACATGCCATGTGCCTGGTCTTCACCTTTTTCACACCTTTTTTACGTGGTATTTACCTTATTTCACTTGGTTCCAGCTTTGTTTCACCTTCTTTTACTTTTTTCTACCTTTTCTTCACCTTGCAACTTCAGCTTTATTTTACGTTATATTTCTTTGTTTACATTTTATTCAATCTGACATCTGCCTCTGTCTCCATGGATCGGACCTTCTAATTCTACATGTTACTGTGGAATAGAATTTTTGGGTACTCGTGTGCACAGGAGTTCCACTTGGATTTCAAGCACGCCTGTCCTCCGTCTGATTCGGCAATGTCCACGGAGGCTGGACATTTGCAAGCTGCTGGACCAATCTCGAGCTGCGGTCTTCTGCCAGGACAGAAGCTCCCAGCGAAGTGACGACACCGATCACTGCTGAGGAGTCAGCAGCGCGGGCCGTGAGCTTTTTCGTTCTTCAAAGTCATGTCATATCATGCGAACGTGCTGGTAGCATACACTGTAAAGCAGAGCCGTATGTTTCAACACCTACAGATGGGGTCTCTGCCGTGCCTTGAGTGTGAGAGACAGTGAGAGATGTATATTTCACACTGACAGCAAGCAAGTTTAATGCGACATGCAGTGACGTAGATAATCTTGCTTTCTGAGCTCTTCGCCGAGACTAGCTGTCTATGCATGCTCGTTTTGTTTGTAAACACAAAGGCCAAATTGTCAAAGCCATCCAGTGCATACCGTTGTCACGCCCGTTCCAAAATTGCCACATGCACTCAAATGCATCTTGAACCCTAGCCTCGTCTGATACCCTTGGCACGTTGGCCACGACAATTTGCTGAAACACACACCTGCGGTGTGTTGTAACTTGCAAATTTGAAGCCAGACTTGCAGAAGTTGGGCCGAATGCTGTGAGAGCACTGTCGAGTACAGAGCTCCATCCTGGTTCAGTGCCCAAACCCATATTACATGGACCTTCAGCCCTCGCCCCCGTGATTGACCCTCCTCTCCTCGTTTGCACCGTCTTCGAAAGTGAGACGCGGCATCTGCCTGGTGCAGGTTTTGTGGCCAAGGCAGCAGTGTAGCACAGCACGAACGAGCATACTGGAGCCGTGACAAGATTGCTGCTGCCGGCTGTCAATGTAGCAGTTTCAGGGCGCCCAAGGAGCCCTGGCTCCACATGCATTTCAGGTGGCATCCAACCGAAATCTGTCGAGTTTCCGGAAGTCGATAGCTGCAGCAGACTTTTGAAAACGTCGGACGCCGGAGCTGTGCATGTGCGAAATTCCTTTGTAAGACGCGGCTTGTAAAGCCTCTTCAGCTACTGCATTGAGAGGAACGGCTTCGCCTCAGTGTGATCTGAGGAGGTGGCTACTCGCACTGCGCGTCAGCTTTTTCCGGGGAGCTGCCTCGACAAACTCACGGGGAGACGTGCAGCAAATGAGTGCCGCGACTGTGTGGGGACTCAATCCAGGCGAGCTTTGATTTTCAAAAAGCCTTGATGCTCCAGCGCAAGACCCGCAGCATCTGATAGCGCTCATTTACGCAACCCCGCGTCGACCAATTTCATATCGTGAAGTCGTGAAGCAGCTCGGCCAGCGAGGCGGGGACATGCGGACATGCCGCACTGTTTGGCAAAAGAGCTCTGCGCGTTGAGTCGAAGAGGCCTGCTATGCAAGTAAGCTTACTTGTATGGCTGCTGCCTTCACTAGGAGGCGCGCTCGGCACTTCCATCGCGCAGGGGTAGGATTCACGAATGTCGGGGCTGCTCTCGAGGATGCCACTGGATTCAGCGACAGCATCTCAAGCAAAGCAACGCAAGCGAGCGTCTCAGTGACGCACTGGTGATCGACGGAGGGCTCAAATTGCCTTCTCGGAAGGCTCTGCTCTCAGCCCGCTTCCCGAGTTCGACGGGTCCGAGTCCCGAGTATTCCCGAGTCGGGGTCACTGCAGTTCTGAGTTCCTTACAGCGTCGGCCTTCCGCCTCCAAGGCTCCGTGAGACCAACATCTCGCAGCGCGCCGGCTGATGTTAAGTACCATCATGCAAGCATGGCTGCGTACGTTGGCCATCATCTTTACTGCCAGGTCTACCTGGCGCTGCATCAGCGCCGGGCAACTCTTTCAGGCCCCCGTACCACGGGCCGAGGGGGTGGTGGGGGTACACGACGCCTTGGCAGGTCTATTCCAGCTCAAGCCCACACCTGCCGATAGCGGAAGGTGCAGTGATGTGCTGAGGTTAGAGTCGGGCTCGTTTCGCAGTCGAAACTGCTTTCCAGACTCCAGTCTCAGGAGGTGCTTGTTTTGCTGGCTTCACCAAATTCTTCTGGGCAGCGGTGCTTGCGTTGTACCCAAGCTGCACTGGTAAGAATTGAGCCACGAATGCAAGGCCACCTGGGCGAATTCAGGAGCAAGTGTCATGTCACTTGATGCCCATTCATGCCCATGCTGTGAAGCCGCTGGAGCAGCGGGAGGGAAGAGGGCGAGGGGGGGATGGGGTGGCCCACAGCACTTCCGGTGATTTCGATCTGGCTCGAGTAGGAAGGTGGCAGGCTGGGAGGGGGTCTTTGAAGGGGAGGGCCACGCTCGCGTGTCCTAGCTGAGGATTTAAGCACCCTTCCTCCCATCCCTCCAGATTTTGAAGTGCCACACCCTGTGAAGACTCCAGCAGAGGTTCTCGCTGATTGGCCTTTGTCTTTTTGTGCCGCTCATGCTGGAGATCACCAGGCCAGGCTTCTTACGATCCGAAGACACGCCACGCCCAGATTTCCTCCAAGGCGGCGCCCACCAGGGCAACCACTCGTGCTGTGTGGCATTATCTTCGACTGCTGCCCGAGCGCCCCTAAGCTTCTCAGGGTTTATTCGGAGCCGACGATCTGAATCAGTCTTCGTGGAAGCAAGGGCTAACCAACCATATTTCGATATCCGTGTGCGCTTGCATCCGTTGCCGTGATGCAGCGACCCTCTCTGAGGCCAAAGAACTCGGCAGAGCAGCTTGTCACGTCTCCGGCAAGCAAATCTCCATTTGCAAGATGAACGAAAACAGTGCTTCTTGAGTCATTCATGCAAACACAGACATGCGGTATTTGATTAATCAAGTAGTAGTAGTAGTAGTAGTAGTAGTAGCAGTAGCAGTAGCAGTAGCAGTAGCAGTAGTAGTAGTAGCAGTAGCAGTAGTAGTAGTAGTAGTAGTAGTAGTAGTAGTCGTCGTATTTAAAAAACTTGCTATTGTCATTTATGACTACTTGCCAGTAGTATATCGCTGTGTCGAAACAGGCGAATTTTCCAAGTCCTCCTAACCGTAGGGCTTGGGGCTTAGCTTTTCTGCGCCCCCTAACCCGTAGGCTCCCCCACCCGCGGCCCTGCATTGAACTTTCTTTGTTCCGCTCGCGCTTTACCGGCATTTTGAGAATCTCTCAGCTCGTATTGCCCCGAACCCTAAACCCTAAACCATAGCCGGAGGGGGGGGCTGCTCGAAAGTTTGGTGCCGAGTGCCCTCAAGCCCAGGAT